CCTCCTTCCTTCCTCCTCTGCCCCCCCCTTCCCTCCTCTGCTCCCGTCTCTCCTTTCCCCTCCTCAGATTGTGTTCCCCGCTGCAGATCCAGTCAGAGTCTGACTCCGCCTACTTCCTGGAAACCCTTGCTGGGAACTTCATGGACGTTGTCCAATATAACGAAGACAACCGAGGATTCGAGGTGAAATTCAGAGTTTTCTCCTGATTCTGAACTGTTTTGGTTGATCTGTGTCATTTAACCAAGCAGTGGATTTCCTGGACGCTGATGGCAGAAACATGGAGGATAGCTGTTTCCATAGCAACGTTTATGCACCTGAGGCGCTGATGGTTCTGGTCCATGTGGAGAAGAAGCTGGTTTTGTTGTGCTCCAGAGGGGACGTTCTGGGGGGGGCAGCTGCAGTCTAACCTGCTGGGCTCTGGGTCCTGGTGGCGTACGGTTCCTGATGGTGATCAGAACATTATTAACAGGTTCTAGTCCAGCAGCTGATTGGCTCCTGGGAAAGGCCCTCCTCTCCCACGCTGTGTGTGGATCCATGCACTTCATGGAGCTCTGCCCAGCCCAGGAACTAAACCTAATCAGGAACTAATCTCATATCTTCCAACTTTGACACCTTGGACTGTTGGCAGCAGCTGGAAGAGTCACTGACCTCTGAACGTCTCGCAGAGAAATACCAAAAATGAACAAAGATGAATCATAGAGATTTAATTTCTGTAATTTAGTTGGTTTTAGATGATCCCATTTCAGCTGCCAGTGATTCCTGCAGCATATGGCAGCTCTTCTGGCCCTCAGGAGCCCAGGGGCCTCTCTGCTAAACGCTGCAGCTGTTCTCAGTTAATGGTCCTCAGAGAAGATGCAGCCATAACAGAGCAGCCTTGGTGTCCTGGAAGCTGTGGCCTTGATAAGCTTATCATGGTTTTTCCAAAAGAAAATCTAAAATCAATCCTCTGGACTTTGTTTCCAAGGTTGAAGACGTTTCTCTTCCATCCAAGAAGATTTTTCATTCAAAATGTCAGAAATAGCGTTTAGTTCCAGGTTTTATCCAGCAGCCCAACAAAGCCTGGTTTTAGTTTAGAAAACATGCAAATAGAAACGGATGAACGGGTCCCCCCCTTTGGAATGGGGGTCGTTTGGCTTCTTTGTTAGCCTGCAATGCCCCATACCTGTCTATGTCTCTGAAAGGGGGGGCGTTAGAGGGAATAGTTGGCCTGCAATGCCCCATACCTGTCTATGTCTCTGAAAGGGGGGGCGTTAGAGGGAATAGTTGGCCTGCAATGCCCCATACCTGTCTAAGTGTCTTAAACCCCTCTTTATCTTGGTTCAGATGCTGAGCAAAGCTCTGGGAAACGTCTCCCCCGTTTCTATGTCAGGTTTCAGTGAATGTTCAGACTGCCAGTTTCCTCCTCTGAGGGTTTTCCTCACCCCCCCATCTTTTCTCCCCTTCCATCGCCTCTCTGTCCCCTTGCCGCCTCAGTGAGACGTGAGTCCGGTTACCAATAAGCCGATGTGAAAAAGCAACAAAGACTCTTTGGTCTCTCTGGTTTCCTGTGGCTCTGAGCCAAAGAGACGCCTGTGAAGAACTGAGGAGCAGTGGGGCGTGGAGCCCACAGCGTCGCCTGACAGGCGCAGCTTCCCGGCACAGCAGGCGGGACGTGGAGCGGGCCACCGGGTTTTAGGTTCTTCTGAGGAATGTGTGGAAAAAGGAGGCGTAACCTGATCAATGGGTTATCGCTCCACCGCAGCTTATTATGGTCTGTAGCTTCTAGAAGATTTACCAGCACCTCCTGTTTCCATGACGATGAAAAAAAAGACTTTTTTTTTTAATCTGTTCTCAGTTTAGTCTCATTATTTCCAACCAGACTGAAACTCTGACCTTCTCACTGCAGCCAGCATGGACCATCCATCCATGCCGGTCAGTAGGCGGGAAATCCTCAGTCCTACTTTAGAAGGACTGAAGAGAAGACGGGAGAAATGTCTTCTGTTCCTCCTTCGGCCTTTCATGTACTCCACTCAATCACAAGCTGACGCTGGCAAGTTGCAGCAAAGCCACGCTGCCCTCCGACCACAGTAGGCAATGAGGCTCAGCTATGTTGCCCTAGGACACAGTGACACTGAAAGCTGGAACCAGGGCTGGAACCGACAACCCTTTGGTTGCTGAGCAAATTCCTGCATCTAACACCATTAAATTAACCTGTTTCCTCTAGATTCTCCTCCTCTATCCTATTGATGATGATGATGATGATGATGATGACGATGATGATGATGATGATGATAAGGAATAAAATGTTGAGGAGGTTGTCCCAAACATAACTTTTCATACCCTTTACCATGAAGCAGCAAGTGAAGCTGAGCTCCATCTGGCTTCCAAGGATCATTCTTCAGATGTTTCTACAACCTAACGGGAAACGGCTGAGTGGACCCAGACCAGCTGTCTATAAAAGGTCCCACATCAGACGCTGATGTCAGAGAGCAAACACCAAGCACGGGGTCAGAGGAACTGTTGGTATAAACATCTCTGCTGCACTGAAGATCCAAACGAGGCCGCTGGCCTCCTCCACTGTTCACTAGCAGAAAGTTGGAACCAGCTGGACGATAGGAGGACCTGAAAAAAAGATGGAACTTCTTGGTGTGAATATCAGGCATCATGTTTGGAGGAAACCATCCAGCTGTAATCAGCAGCCCATCCCTTCAGGGAAGCACGGTGGTGGCAGCATCATGCTATGGGATGTTTTGTCAGCATCAAAAACTGTCAGAATAAGAGGAATAGAGCAATGAACAGAGACCTCCTAGATGGAAACCTCTGTACCTCAGAGTGACTGAGCCAAAGAATGGATCAGAACACCTCTGGGAATATTCTGGAGGGACCGAGCCAGAACCCGGGCTTTGGTCCAATTAAACGTCCAAATTGATCTAAAATGGCTGCACAGACGTCTCTCTAATGGCGCTGAGATGTTGTGCAGAGAAGAACCGTCTACTTGAGGCATCAGGTTCAGAAAGACCAGGCTGGATAAGATCGGCTTTAAACCAAAGCTGTGAAGACTTTTAGTTTTTTTCTCCGTGGACCATTATGGGCTGCTGCTTGTTTGATCTAGAGGACAAACATGAATTTAGTTCCATTTGGAATAAGGCTGGAACAGAACGGAATGGGAAAATTTCAGCGCTGTGAATACTTTCTGGATGGTCCAGTAGAGCTCTGGACATAAATCTTTAACATCGGACGGTGGTTTAATCAGATGCTGCAGCTTCCTGCTCCTGTGCTCATCTCTCTAACCAGCGCCTCCTTCAGGAAAGCAGACAGATTTCACTCCAAATATTTCCATCATCCGCCCTGTTGGAACTTTACTACGACGTTTGAAGTAAGTATTGATATTAACCAACCGACTCTCTCTGTCCACCTGCACTGTTTTACCTCAGGGGGTTCCAGGCACCAATGTAACCATCAAGGTGCTGTGCGGCGTAATGGGAAACACCTCGATGGGAGATCCTTACAGCCGCTATGTTGCTGTGGCCCGCCTCATGATGGACACCTTTTCTATGAAATGCCTGGACAGCAGCTTCAATAACTACGTCAGAGACATGACCAACACGTCCTGGGATGGGCCGGCTGCGGGGGGAGGTGGGTTTACTGACACCTACACTTTAATACTCATATTACATCACATTAAAACATTTATGTATCTTATTGGAACTTTCTCACAGCGAGTTATTTCTTTTTTTTTTTTCAAATGAAAGTCTGATTACTGTCGGAAGGTCGGAACTTTTCTGAACATTTCTCTTCCTGCTTTGCACATTTAGAGACAAAGATGATTGACCGTTACCTTACCCTGACAACCTTTATGCTTGTTGGCAAGAAATGTTGCAAACATATTCTTTTAATGACCGACTCTCTGCCTTACCTCTAGGGTTAGATGTTCGTGGCCTTCTCTCTATCTTAGCTCTAGGGTTAGATGTTAGTGGCCTTCTCTCTATCTTAGCTCTAGGGTTAGATGTTAGTGGCCTT